TGAGCTAAGGGTGGGGGCATATTAATGAAAGGCATGGTTCCTGCCCCAGCAGCATGCTGTCAATTAGGAGGGAATTTGTAGATGCTGCTGTTGTTGGAAGTTGTTATAGTCCAAACAGGAGGGGATTAGACTTGGTCAAGAGTATGTATAGATGAAGGAATAAGAAGACTTAGGGAGCATCCAAAATCTTGGCAATACTCTATATTTCTCTCTCTCTCTCCCTCTCTCTCTCTCTCTCTCTCTCTCTCTCTCTCTCTCTCTCTCTCTCTCTAAGCACAGAGCCCAACTTACCTGGTCCACCCACAATGCCTGGGCCTCCAATACCAGGGCCCCCAACACCTGGGATGCCACCAACACCTGGAATACCACCAGCACCTGGAATACCACCAATACCTGGGATCCCAACACCTGGGATTCCAACACCTGGGACCCTAATTCCTGGTCCACCAGGTACTAAGCCTCCAGCAGCTCCTGTAGATGGAAAGAGAACTGTCTCAGACTGAGCCTTGTGGGGACCTCTGCAGGCCTCCTAGGGCAGATGATAGGTCATCTTTGGAGACCACAGTCTGTCCTGAGTGCAGGATCATGTGCAGATGGGTTGGTGATTCCTCTACAAGGATCCAACTCATCAGAGAGCAGGGAATGGACCAAGATGGAGCCCAGAGAGACCTCTAGTTTGGATATGTAGCTGGGAAGAACATTATCAATTCCAAAGCAAAATTAAAACATCTACTGTAGGCACCTAGGCTGTGTTTTTTGTTTGTTTGTTTTTATTCTTTTGTTATCATGTTTTATTTTGCAGTACTGGGAATTGAAACCAGGACTTTGCACATGCTAGTACTCTATCATTGAGCCACACCCCAGCCCTCACTGGGGAATTCTAGGCAGGTGCTCTACCACTGAGCCACACCCCAGCCCCTCACTGGGGAATTCTAGGCAGGGGCTCTAACACTGAGTCACACCCCAGCCCCTCACTGGGGGATTCTAGGCAGGTGCTCTACCACTGAGCCACATTCCAGCCCCTCACCGGGGAGTTCATGTAGAGCAAGAGCTGCCTTCCAGGTAGAGTGACCAGGATGGGAGAAAGCCTTCCTTTGGGGAAAGTAAGAGTGTCCCTAGGTGATCAGAGGCAAATTCTACTCCTCTCATGGATCTCCAGTGTTCATGCAGAGCCCCAACCTGCCACTTCTGGGGGACACTCACCATACTTAGCAGCCTTAGCAGCAGCCTTTGCCGCAGCAGCCGCTGCAGGAGTCCCAGCACCTGGAGAGACAGGCACAGAGAGTGAGGTTCTGCCCTGATGGCCCCTCAAGGATACCTCCACCCCCTAGCTGGGAAAAGCATTACCTTTAAAAGCTCCAATCCCAGGAATTGCACCAGCACCGCCAGGAATGCCACCCCCTCCAACACCAGGGAGAACTCCAGCTCCTCCAGCACCTGCTGGGACAGGGATGGCACCATGTGGCTCCCAGAGCTTCTTCTGAGGCCAGACAGGAAGGCTCCAGGGGTGCCAGCATACTGTGTGTGTGTGTGTGTGTGTGTGTGTGTGTGTGTGTGTGTGCATGAGTGTACTTGTGCACATACATGAATGCCAAGGCCAGAGGTTAATCTTGAGTACATTGCCTCAGGAACTTTTTTCTTTTTCCCCTTTTCACATACATGTACAGGTATGTATACATGCATGTTTCTCCATGCATGTGGGAGTGCTTGCTTGTGAGTATTCATGCATCTGTCTGTGCATGTATGTGGAGGCCCAAGGTTGATGTTGGGGAATCATTCTTGATGTCCTGTCATTTTATTCATTGAGGCAGGCTCTCCCATTCAGTGTGACTAGTCTTACTAGCTAGCTTGACTCTGAGGAATGCCCCATTTCTGCCTTCCAAGGTTGGAATTACAGGTGAGCCATTGATCTGGCATCTACGTGGATTTCTGGGGGATCCAAACTCTGGTCCTTATGCTTGCAAAGCATGCACTTTAACTAGGGTGCCATCTCCCCAGCCCCCACCTTGATTTCTGAGACAGGATCTCTCACTTTTCCTTGGACTGTGCCAGCTAGCCTGGCAGGCCAGTGAGTCCCAGGTATCCACCTGTCTCTACCACTCCAGTGCTGCGATTACAAATATGTGCCACCTCACCTGCCTTTTTAATGTGGATTATGTGCCATGGGACTCAGGACCACATGCTTGTGTAGCAAGCACTGTACCAACTGGGTTATCTCCCCATGGCCCTTACTGCCTACTGTTTTGTGAGACAACTTTAACTAGGCAGCCCAGCTGCCACAGCCTCCTGGAGGGATGCTGGGTTTTTATCCACCATCCTCTCACCCAGGACCAAGCCTCAGCATCTCCAGATGAGCTTGCTTGGGAAGGTTCCTACCCCAGAGTTCTTGGGTTTGCCCCCAAAGTGTCCGTTTCAACACACTTATTAAGCGAGTCCGATGTTCACAGACAAATCCCTTTCTAATCACTGCTACATACTGACAAACCACAAGCTCCGTTCCTTAGGCCAGAGGGGCCCCCAAAGGAATGCTGAAGGCTTCCTTTCCCTGTGTTCCGAAGACTCAGCCAAGTTCAGAATCCAAGTGTCTGGCTGCCTGGCTCTGGCAGTCCCTTTCTCCAGGCTCTCCAGCTCCCAGCTCCCAGCTATTCCCACCAAGCCTGATCTGCCAAGGGGCCTCTGTGCCTGGAGAATTGCCTGGGGGGCCTCTATGGGGCAGGATCAGTTCTTCTTCTAACGTCTGCCCACCAGACGTTAGGGTCTTCTGTCCTCTACTGACCTAGAAACAAGAAGGCCTCCTGGGATGGGGACGGGGGAGAGGACTTTGTTCCTAGTGAGCTGGCCTCTATCTGAAGAGGGGAGAAGATGCCCACTCTGTCTACAGCAAGGACATGGAACCACCACAGCACACCCCCAGCACACCATATCCACAGCTCGGCTGTTCACAGGACTGCGGGCTTGGGGAGGGGTTACACTTTTGTAGTGTATGTGAAATGGATGTATAACATTAAAAAAAATTCTTACACAGGTACTGCCCGTGTTTCTCTCTATCACCATAGCACTCATCCTTTATGCTTGGGTGCCTCCTTCCTCTTTTTTTTTTTTGTTTGTTTTGAGAAGGGCCTCATGTAGTTCAGGATAGCCTCAAACTTGCTATGTAGCAAAGGAATGCCTCAAACTTCCAATCTTCTTGTCACCCCCTCTTAAATGCCGAGTCCTCACACCTGGTTCTTTCTGTCTGACCCACAGGGAAAATTCCACCTATACGCTAAGGTTCTTGAATGACAGGTCACATTCTCCAAGAGGCTTCTCTCATTTTCCACATGGAGAAATAACGGCTCGAGGGACTGTGTCCACATCCCCTGAGATAGGTGCGTGGAGGGAGAAAGGGGTGATGGACGAAGGAAAGGAAGGATGTAGGGATGGAGAGAGGAAGGATCAGGGAGGGACAGAAGGAAGCATAGATGGAAGTGTGGATGGAAGGGTAAAGGATGGAGAGTGGGGTGTGGGAGATGACTGCATGGAGGGATGGGCGTGTGTGCGTGTGTGCGTGTGTGTGTGTGCGCGTGCGCTTGTGTGCGTACGAGTGTGTGTGTGTGTGCGCGTGTGCGCGCGCACGCGAGTGTGTGTGTGTGCGTGTGCGCTTGTGTGCGTGTGCGCGCGAGTGTGTGTGTGGGTGTGCGCGCGAGTGTGTGTGTGGGTGTGCGCGCGAGTGTGTGTGTGGGTGTGCGCGCGAGTGTGTGTGTGTGGGCGCGCGCGCGAGTGTGTGTGTGTGCGTGTGCGCTTGTGTGCGTGTGCGCGCGAGTGTGTGTGTGTGTGTGTGTGTGTGCGCGCGAGTGTGTGTGTGCGTGCGCGCGCGCGCGCGTGTGTGTATGTGTGTGTGCGCGCGCGCGCGTGCTTGTGTGTGTGTGTGCGTGCTTGTGTGTGTGTGTGTGCGCGTGCGCTTGTGTGCGTGCGCGCGCGCGCGTGTGTGTATGTGTGTGTGCGCGCGCGCGTGCGTGTGTGCGCGCGCGTGTGTGTGTGTGTGTGTGTGTGCGTGTGTGTGTGTGTGTGGGATAGGTGTGGGAGGAAGTTGGGTAGTATAGACAGATGAATAGGAGATGGATGGAGGGAAAAGAAAGAGAAGAAAAGATGGATGGATGGATGGCCTGAAGGAGGGACGATAATGGATAGAGTGAGGGAAGGGGAGGTGAAGGGATGGATGGATGGAGGGTGGGGTAAGGGAGAGAGACAGCTTTGGAATGATGGATAGAGAGAAAGAGGGATGAATTGGTGGAGAAGAGTGATTGAGGAATAGAGGGGTTGATGGATGATAGGGTATAGATGGATGAAGGAAGGGAGGGAGATATGGAGGGATAGGTAGATAGATGAACGGAAGGAAGGGGGAGGTAGAGCCAAGGGGGAGGTAGAGTCATTTGAAAAAGGGGATAAGAGCCAAGTGGTGGTGGCGCACGCCTTTAATCCCAGCACATGGGAAGCAGAGGCAGGTGGATCTCCGAGTTCGAGGCCAGCCTGGTCTACAGAGGGAGTTCCAGGACAGCCAGGGTTGTTATACAGAGAAACCCTGTCTTGACAAAACAAAAACGGGGGACACAGAAATTATCTGGATTATTATTCTTCTAACCACCACAGGAAAGGGGAGTTGGGGGCCCGGAGGCCAGCAAGGGTCTCCAGAGTACTCACCATACTTCGCTGCTTTAGCTGCCGCTGCTGCTGCCTGAGATCCAACCCCTGGAAGAGGGGAGATGAGGTGACACTAAACATGGTGATGGTGTCCAGGCATCTCCAGAGTCCCATGTTCCCAGCCCCACAGATACCCAGACGTATCTGGGGGCTTCATAAGCCAGTAAAGGCCAGGGAGCTGCCCCAACCCAGATCAGAGTGTAGGCTTTGACCAAGGTCTTCATGCAGGATGGGTAAGCTTGTGTTTTGGATAGTCCCTGGATCTGGGGGCATTAGTGTCTCTTTGGCTGGAAGCAGGTGAGATTTCCCCCGGCCCCTTACCTGTTCCTGTTGGGTAGCCAGCTTTGCCCCCTGCACCAGCCACTCCTGTGAAGAAGATGCTTGGTTGTCTGTCACACAAACCCTGACACTCTGCCCTCTGCTGTCCCACTCATCTGGGGGCTCCCTGGTCACTTCCAACAAAAGTGTACACAGATACAAGTACACATAGGGGATGCCATCCCATTTTACAGACAAAGACAGTGAGGCTTAGAGAAGGAAAAATGCCGCTCAAAGGTATTGTGATAAGAGAGAGGGCCAGGACTGAATGCTAGGCCAAGTCCCCAGTGTCAGACTTTGTTCTTTGAGAATTTTTATTCTAGCACTTTGCCTCTACACCATTCTAGCTGGGTGCTGTCTTGGCCCATGGCTGGGGCCTCAGTACACTTGTCAGGCTCATAGAGCTGGAAAGGGTCAGAGCTCTACAAATCCATGAGGACTTACTTACCATAGGGCAACTTCCCGTTGGTATAGGGCAGTCCATAGCCACCTATGGACAGAGCAAGGGATGGATGGAGAGAAGGATTAGTGCTTGGATGGATAGTTAGGGGAGGCAAAGGGGTGGGAGGAAGGGGTAGGTAGGGTATATGGGTGGATGGAGAGAGGAATGTCTAATGCAGGAGAGGAGGAATAGGTAGAAGAAAGGCAAGATAATGGAGAAAGAAATGAGTAGAAGGAAGAAGTGAATGGAGAGGAATGGATGGAGAGAAGGAGTGATGGATGGATGAGTGGAGGGAGAGGTAAATGGATAAAGGGAAAGAGTGATGGATGGATGGATGGAGAGCAGGAGGACCAGATGCTGAGGAGGGAGTGGGGAGGGGTGATGGATGGAGAGCAGGAGTTGTAGATGCTGGGGAGTGAGTGGGGAGGGGTGATGGATGGATGGATGGATGGATGGGTAGAGACACCTTGCTTGCCTCCCATCTTTCTGAATGGATAAACAACTCTCCACAGGTGTCATAATACCCTCTTGAGGGTCATCAGTTGTTAATAAAGTCTATCAGATAGAGCAGGGAGAGGACAGCCACTCGTCTCCAAACCTAAGTCCCAAGATGGTCCCTGTGATCTGAGTGCCTACCTGTGGGCCTGCTCCCCTTGTCAGGACTGATGCTATGGTATGGGTGACAGATAGACACCAGAGTGGAGAGTCAGACACAGTGACTACAATGCTACTTAAGGTGAGTTTTCCTTTCTTTTTCCCATTCTTTCTCTCTTGGTTTTTTTTTTTTTTTTGCTTTGTTTTGAGGTAAGGTCCCATTCTGTAGCCCAGGCCACTTCCAACTTATTGTGCAACTCACTAGTAGCCCTGACCTCAGGTACTTGTGCAGCCAACTTTTTACTAAGTGAACTGTCTTCCTACCCTATAAATAGTGATGCTCATCCCAGTGTGTAAGGCTGATTTCATAGCAGGAGGCTCAGATAACCATAATAATGTTATTATTATTATTATTATTATTATTATTATTATTATTATTATT